CTTTTCTTGCTTATTACTCTTAATTTTCCTCAAATCTCTTTTACTAATATTCTTTAAGCTATTTTTAATGTATTTATCGTTAAAATGTTTCCAATTTATTTTTTGATTGTTCTATGATTGTTCTCTTCAACTTTTTTGCATTTTCCAATGTTGTTCCCATCACTCAATAGCTTGTTTCTATTTTTAGATTATATCTCTCTTATTTTATATTAAAATCTATATTAAATTAAAACATTATATATATATATATATATATATATAGAGAGAGAGAGAGAGAGAGAAATAGAGACAGATAGACAGAGAGATATTGATTTATAATTTGGTGGACAGCCCTTGAGGTGCATAATAAAATTTCACACCTCCAAATAAATTATTTCTCATAAAAAAGATATCATAAACTGAAATTCACAAGGTTTATTTATCATAGAAATGTGATTATATCCTGAAAATTTACCAACCTTGGTTGGTTAATACCAATTTATTGTAAAAACAGTGCATAATAAAATTCAACATTGCAAACTCTCTCATTAATATATAGCTCATTAGTCTTTTACTTTGTTCCTTTATATGATTTTTACTCTCGTGTAATTCTTTTACTCTTTTTCTAAATCTTCTCTTTCTTTATGCCTCTATTTAAATCAATTTCTTCTCTTGTGTATATTTAACATTCTTGTCATTGATTTTTTTTTTTTATCCTTGACTTTTTTTTATAGTCTTTCATATATTCTCTTTGCATTCCTTGTTATTACTTTTTCCTGAACTGTTTGTTTCTGTCTGTCCTTACTTTTTTTTTTTTTTTTTTTGAATAATTCAAAATTTGCTTCTCACTTTTATTTTTTCTTTCTTCTATCTGACTTGCTTTCTTATCCTTTATCTTCTTTCCTCTTTTAACTTTTCTGATGAACGTTTGTCTTCTATATTCTTTCACCATTCTGTAATCTTTTCCCTCCTTTCTTCAGAACAAAATCATGGCCTTCTATTTCCACTTTTGCTCTTAATACTGACTTCTCTAATTTGAAAGAGTTGCTGATAATTCAGACACACTTAATTTAACAAGTACTTGAAAACAGCATAAAAGGAATTCAAAGTCTTAATAATGGAGCATGAAAAGAAAAAAAATTGGAGAGAAATTTCAGAACTTTGAAAAATTAAAGACCTCACAGTTTTTAATTTGAAGCAGTGAATCAGAAAGGAATTTTTTAAATTGCAAAACTTTTTTAAGAAATGGTCTAAAAGAAAGCCTTAAAAAGGTGAAGAATTCCTGTCCTAAATACATTTTCTCTTATTACTTGTTGCTATGCCAACATGATTTGTGTATCCATGTGATTATTTTATTTGTTTTTGTATTTTTGTTTATTCATTTTCTGGATAAGTGGTGACTCTTTTTAGCATTTGGGTTATTGATTAATTGTTAGCCAATCAACATTTATGCATAAATATATACAGTTACCCCACACATTATCTTGATCAGTTATGGTGATTGTTATGCACACACACACGCACAGAGGTTTCTTTCTATATATTCTTTTATTTCTATGTATAGTAACAAAGAAATTGCCCTTCAACAGATATATAAGTTTGTCATATAATATATTGTAATTCTTAAAAGAAGCTTAATCTATTTTTTCTTCAATAACATTTTTGAGTATGATTTTAAGTAACATTTATTTTCAGACTAACTCAGTAATTTAATGATTTTTTTACACTAGTACACAAGAATCATAATGTCATCATAATGTTCTGTATGAAATCAGCCATGTGTTATATCTGTCAGGTTTTGAATTTTCAAAATTCATTCACATAATTTGTGAGCTGATGTTAATCAGTTTCAAGTTACTGCCACAACTTATTTCACTGACATGATGAATGAATTACCTAGGATACAAACCTTGAAAAATGTCATGATAATAAAATGTTCTTGCTTAGTCATTGTTCTGACATATATATCTGAAGACAAAATGGCAGTCATTATGTAGTGTTGATCCCTATGTCTGCATGATATCTATCTTATATAAACTGAATTATGTTGAGAGATGTTCTGGTAATCTCTTAGACAGACTATAAAAAAAAAATACATTGTTCTGGAGTCCAAATGTCGATGTTAGATGAACACACAAACCATAAAATTGAAGAAGTGACACAGTCCAAAGCAAGGATAATGAGAACAAGGAGTATAAAATATGCCAAAATTTATTATTGGCAGAAAAAATAAAAATCAAATCGAAGAATCCAGTTATCTTAAATTCCCTGTGTTGTTGTGTTGTTCGTTAACTCTTGGTCTTAGTTGCATTGACAGTTGATGATGACTGGAGCAACTTGAGTGGTGCAGACGGTTGATAGTGAATTGGCATATTGGGTTGGTATTAGCTGGTAGTCATAGCCTATGGTAGCTGGTTGTTGGTAAACAGAAATTGAAGACAAAACCACTTAGGAGGTGTCGAAGGACAATAGGCAATCAGCAAAGGTTGATAAACAGTTGGTGTATTGAGTTTTTACTAACAGGCACTCTTAGTTGATGGTAGGCAGTTGAAATTACAGTGATCTGTGAGATGATAAGCAGCAAGGTGTGAAACCTGTAGTGGATTGGTAGACAACGTGGTCGGCGGGAGTCTGTTGGTCAATGGTGACCGCTGCTGGTTGCTGGTGGTCACTGCTGATCACTGCTGATGGTCACTGGTGGACGCTGGTCTGGATACTATCTAATCATTCTCTTCTCCCCACCTGTCCCAGGAGCAGCTGGTCACTACTGGTTTTATGGTATAGGCTTGTTACAACAGTGCAGGGTTTTGGATGCTACTTCCAGTTATAAATGAAATTGATAAAAGTAACTCTAGGTTATGAAGTATAATGTAATTGGTCATAATAAAACTACAAACAGGAAAGAAATAGTATTGGTTTTGGATAACAGGCGTAAAAAAGGCTCCAAAACAATGTATAGAATTAATAAACTCAGAGAAACATTGCAAAATTAAACTGAAATGTCCGTTTGTGGAAACAAAAATAACAGAGTAACATGTCACTATGTTAAAATAATATAGATAAACACACATGGCTTATGTCAGAGGGTATCCCCCAGACAAGGCTCTGCCGAGGGGCAGAGTCTCATCTCAGGAAACTGACTCCGCTATGGGCTCAGTTACCCCACTTTAAACTCGGCCTTGTGCCACATCTTGCTGCATGGGGAAACGGGTAAATAATTATAGATAAACACACAAATATGTTTGTTTATTTATTTACATTCTAAAATAAATCTGTTCTTTTCCAAATGTTTAATTTTGGAAATTTAGGCACTAGGCAGTTAATATTTTACTAGGAAGTGATCTTGACACTTTTAAGAAATGTAACAGAAAGATATACACATTTATTGCCTGAATTTTGCTAGATGTTTTAATCATTTTACATTCCAAAGATAAGATTTGAAAACATTCTGGTGCACAACAATCATCTGAGGAAAGTCTAAGAGTACTTGGCTGGAGCACAATATAAAGAGGAAGAAGATAAGGAAATTATTTTTTTTAAAAAAGTAGAATAAAATACATACAGTGATTATAAAAACTTTTCTTCCACAAATTATTCAAACTAATATACTTAACCTTGTATTTTATTTTAGGTTTGATGCATTCTTCAACCTTCTTTATTTGTATAATTCATAAAGTAATCAGTTGTTCTGATTCTGAGTATCAGAGATTTTTGTAGACAGCAAAAACGAAAGTTAAACTGAAAAAATCTGGTTAATATATTGAGCAGCTTATCACATTTACTAACTTTCTCAATAGTCTTGCAAAACACAGGAGCTGATCCCATTTTTTTAGTTGAAGAGATTTTACATGTTTTCTTTACTGAGTCACTTCAAGATGACATTTATAACAGTTCAAGATCTCTGCTTATAATTTTGTTCCAAAAGCAATGAAATATTCCTTTTTACACTGTGTACTTGCTTGATTTAATTAGTTCTTTGAACTAATATGAAAATACAACCCTTTCAATGGGAATGTATTGATATAATCTTTCTAAGGAACAATTATCTAATCTCAAATAACATCAGGCTCTATAAATAGGAGAACAAACACATGAACTAGAAAAAATTACAGAAAGTCAGATAATGAGTATCTTAATATATCCAAATGGATTTTTACTTAATATGATGTTGAGTGGCTTTCTATAGTGAAACCACTTGTTACAGCCTTTTCACAAAAGCTTGAACTTCATGTAAGATAAATATCATCAAAAGTTGTGAATATTTCATGCAGTTGAGATGGGAAATAGAAGGGGGGAAACAGGTTGAAATATCTTGCAAACACCCTGAGAAGATTAAGCTTATATGTTGATCTACTTTGTATGTGTTGCTGCCTTATTTTCAGTTTGAATTGAAAATATAATAGAAAATTTTGGCATTTAACCCTAAGACAGTTGATAATAGGAATCTTCTTTTATCTAGTGAATTAAACGCCTGCAGAAGGCTGAAGAATACAGCCACCAAAATGCTAAAACTAATTAGACTATTAGAACAACTTGTAAATACAATGTTTTATTAGACGAGAGGCATCACACTACATAAGTTATTGTTGACTGCATGTTTTATATGATGATATTTTTAATTACAAATGTAGATTTAAGTTCACAGTATAATTATTAGATGAATTTTGATAAGAAACGTTTATTATATAAAAATTCATCCCTGATCTATGGAAAGGTATTGGGTTAAGTACACTGACAAAGAAAATTATACTAAAATATAAATATTTTTGTGTTAAGTATGTGCCTTTTTCCCCCATCATTTTGGCTACAGACTTACTTTATATATATATGTACCTTTCACTGTTATTAAACTTTTAATAACTACAAAATATATTTGTAGCTTAATTTGGTTAACCTAAAAGAGTGCTGTTAATAATAACAATTCATTTTTTTTCAGCAAAAGCATCTGTTGAACCTTTGTTGGTTCATGAAAAATAAATATGTTTGGTAGTGTTGTTATTATTGTGTTGTCTTTTGCATAGGTAATGTTTGGTACATCAGACGGACAAATAATTGTGATGAGCTCAACTGGAGCGATGTTAACTCAGGTGATGGTTTTGGAAGGGGCAGAGATTGGTGCTATGTCTTGGTCCTGTGAAAAGTTCAACATGGATGAGGCAGAGGCTAATAAAAATGAAAAATACAACCATTCTAGTAAGTCACCCACATCTTTTTCTTTTATCAACTTTCAGGTCTTTTGTTAACTGGAGTTTGGTTGTTTTATGGACATATGTTTGGCATGCATGTGTGTGGATGTGTGTGTGTGTGTGTGTGTGTGTGTGTGTATATATATATTTAGGAAGCATATCTTCATTCAAGTATGTTTCATTGAATAATATAAACATATTATGCCTATTTTATTTTTTTATATTTCTAGTTCTCTAATTAGCTTCTTGATGTTGAAATTCATCAAAGGAAGGCAGACTATTTTTTGTTAACCCAAGTACCTTCAATCTTTGCTGAGATCACCCTCAGGGGTGAATTGCAATGTAACTGTGATCATTGTGATGGTGATTTTTATAAACATGTGTGAACACATTCTGTTATAATTATTTTAAAATTAACCATTGTAGCTACAATGTATTTTTGTAAACAAGCATCCACAATGTAACGGAGCTAACCAGAGATAGTAAAAATTGAAATGGCATTAAATGTTGGTCAAATACATTTTAAAACATTGCTACTATACTCATAATAAATTTTGTTCAGTGTTAGTTGGTTGCTTTTGATAAAGAGGGACTTGAGAATTTGAAGTTTTTGTTTATTATTTTCATAGTGTAGAGTATATTGGTGTTGTCAACAAGTATTTTCTTGCATTATGAAGGTGGACAGGAATGTGTCTTTAAATGTTCTCTGATAGAACTTATATCCAACAGATGGAATGTAAGAGGTTTGAAAATGTTGTGGTCATCAAGCCAACATATGCACTTATTTTCTTGTCATAGATACAATCTTCAAAAGGACATTTAATCTGATATACAATGTTTGTCTTTTCCAAAACACTAGTTGATGGAGAAGAGTTATTGCATATGATTAAGTTGGTTGTGTTAAATTTAGTATAGTATATAATGATTATGGATTGACTTTGCAAACAAAGACTTCATTGGATTTTCTAAAGCCACTCCCATATTGGCTGTAAGATATAATAATTATGTTTACTGAATGTAAAAAATGTAGTTGAATATAGTTAATTAGATAAAATATTTATATAAGTTATTTATATAAATATTTTATCTAACTAACTATATTCAACTACATTTTTTCCACTGTCTTATGCTATCTTTGAGGCAGCTTCAGAACTTAACATCTTTCTGGTTGATGAACTTGTAGTTTTTCCCAGAGAATTGAAGGTTTTCCCATTGAGAGAATTTAGTTGTAATTTAAATAATTAGTAATCCAAAGGTGCAGGGTCAGGGGTGTATGGCAGGTGAAGTTGGACATCCCAGCCAAGCTGCACCAATATCTGCTGTGTCTGCCAAAAGATGTGAGATCTGCTGTTATCCTGATAAGAAGACAACACCCTTCTGCTTGGCTAGTTCTGAATGCTTTTCATCAACTGTTACCTTTTAATTGTTCCAGATGTGAACAGTACTGAATATGAATACAATGTCTGTTTTTGTAGAAGGTGCTTTTAGTATACAATATACTTTTAATCCTACCAGATACACATTATCATCTTCTTCAGATGCAGACTGGCTTTTGAAGTAGTTAACTAAGGTTTATTTAATTTTCCCCCCAGGGATCTTTTGTAAATAATCCATTTTTCATCCATTTAAGTATGAGCTGTCTTTGTTGTATTTGAGCAGATAATTGCAGATGAAAAGTGCTCATTTTAATTTTTTTCTATTAAATTGTGAGACATCCAAATATGATAGCAATTCACATATCCAAGTGATTTCTAATACCTTTTAATACTCATATGAGCTATGTGGAATATTTCTGTAATGTCCTGTATTATTTTTAATGAGATTTTTTTTGTTATCTGGTCATTGTCAATAAGAGCAGACCTTCTAGAGCATTCCCATTCTTTCAGATCAAAATTCATGTTACTGAACCTAAGTGAATCATATAGTACTGTCACCCTATGACACCATCTTGAAAACAATGCATATCTTTTTTGCTGTTTGTACACTGTTTTTTCCTTTCCAGAAATTATAAGAACATCTCATTTTTCCCCATTTTCATTTTGTAAAAAATTTAAAATTCAATTTACATCCAAATTATAGAGAAAGATGTGTTGAAATATCGCTTGTCAGAATATATATTTCAGTCAGGTGTGAAATAAAATCACATGTTCCAATGCTACCTAGTGACAAACAATACAATCTTTTGTTTCCAACCCAATATATATATATATATATATATATATATATATATATATATATATATATATATATATATATGTATGTATGTATGTATGTATGTGTGTGCGTATATATATATATATATATATATATATATAATTTATAATATAATAATTTTCAATATATATATTTTTCATTTATTTGTTTAAGTGTTATTTTGAGTAGATACTTTGTTTTTATTTAAAAAAATAACAAAGCATCTACTCAAATATGAGCATCCATTTCAAAAATAATGTTTAAACAAATAAATTACAAATCTGTTGGATTTAATCCATTTCCTAAAAAATATCTTTGTTTATGCAAAACAGAGAAGTTATATATATTTTGACAATTGGGAAGATGTGTATTCAAAAGCACTATTCAGGATATATATATATATATATATATATATATATATATATATAGAGAGAGAGAGAGAGAGAGAGAGTTCTTTGGTCAGCACATAAGGATTGAAACAATCAATGCAGGTGAAGATGCTCAGTGAAATAATTTATCAAATAATGATAATACCTTATCTCAGAAATTGGGAAAATATAAGCTAATCAGATTTGGAATACCAAACATTATATATGGTTTGGGTAATTTAATTTATTCTCTACCCTAACAGCACCAATTAAACCAGTTAACATCTTGAGAATTTTGAAATTAGGATAATGAAAATGCTATGCTATTATATTTTTTTTAATTTTTCTCAATTTTTCTAATAAAACTAATTGGTGGTTGTGACAAATGCACATTTACTTCCTGGAGTTCCTGAAATTGATTTTCAAGGTAAATATGAATGTTAAATTTCCAAACAAGTTTATTCCAAATAAAGGATTTGTGTTATCCTTAGCCATGTATATATACATGAAATTGATCAGATGGAAAAGTATATTTTTTAATGTATTTTAAGAAGGAACTACTTTAGACAAAATAATGGCTTTATTGATGGAATTAATCCTTTATATAAAAAGGGAAAATGTAGGAGGCAGAGAAATATCAAAAAATCCTTTTTACAATTTACATTGAAACATTAAAGATATGGAAGCATTTAGCATTTAAATTTTCACATCTAATGCATCCAAATTTTAACGTATTTCATTCAGCTTTTTATTACTGTTATTATTTTTAATTAATCCACATTAATTATACTAGTAGTAATTCTGTATCTTTCACATTAAACTTTTTATATACAGAATTCATTCAATTGGTAAAAAGTTATTTTGCTTGATGTTATTTGTAAGAATGAAACATGTCACAACACAATTTTCTCTTGCACTATTTATTTATTTGCTACTATTCTGATATATATATATAAGTATTTACAATATATTTTCCATATTTTAGAATGTGCTATACTTATATAATATAATCTGTTTGTAATTCAATTTGGTATCTGAAACTATAACACATTTGTCATTGATGTTATACGTCAATGTTCCAATAAAAAACAGTTTTAAAAGTTCAATTTTAAGGTGGTAGATCAAATGCACTCTGAAATATTGTATTACACAATATGCTTACCCTTGATTATGTACTTGTTAAATTTTTAACATGTAGTATATTTACCTACAGTAGATTGGTTAGTCACTAATTATTTGAAGTAAGATATTATATCATACTAAGTCCAAATTAATCCATATCATTCTCCATCACTATATCACTTGTGTGTGTGTGTATAGATACATACATACATATATATATATAACACAAAAATGAAAATAACACTGACATCTCATTTTAGCAGATATATTTACCAAAATTACACAAAAATATCTTGACATACTAAAGAGTATATTTATTCCCTAAAATTGCCATTGGTTTCAACCATAGCCTCCAGACAACTTTGGAATCTCCTGCAACTCTTCTGGATGGTGTCCTTGTTTAAGTTGATGAATGCTGCCATAATCCTTGCCTTCACTTCATCTTTGGTGTTACAAGATGTTTTGTTGGTCTCTTGCTCAACTGCACCCCACATATAATAATCAAGGGGGTTGCAGCCTGGCTGGGTTAGGTGGCCAAATGTAAGGCATGATGCAGTTTTAAAAATTATCTGACACTCATGACAGCAATCTCCTGCTTGTGTGGCATGGCGCAGAATCCACTTGCCAGACATTATGTCATCCAGCAGCCACTGTATTGACCCAGGGCAGCACTACCCCCTCAACACATTTGCTGTAGGTTTCTGTGTTAAGTCTGAGGCCCCCACCAACAAATTCAGGTATTCTTTTCTTATCAGAATGATCAGAATGAGTTTTCCAAGCAACCATACCTTCGTAATCACCTTTAGGCTCATCCATCTCTTTCTGAATCCTCTGCACTGTCTTCATATTAACACCCAAACACTCTGAAATGTTTGTAATGGAGCTTCTGGCACAAATGACAAGCAGTCCAGCATACCATTTCCAAATTTCTTCTAGAGTGAATTGCATCATGGTGCTCTTTTTCTCCCAGACATTGCCCAACTGACCCTACTATACTGTGCAGTCAACAAAATTAAAAACAAACATCATGTATGCACAAAATTAAAAATATAAAATGGTGACAATTTAACCATCGCACTCTTTATATTGTTTATTTGGGTTTACATATAATGTAAATATGCACATATGCATGTACAGTTCTTTTTAGAAATAAATGAAATTTATTTTTTAAAAAGAAGCCCAATGATAATAATCCCTAAATGTCTTAGAGTGTCACCTGAATTCCCTGTCCACACACCTATCAAATTAGCAGGTTACTGGGCAGATATCACAGTTGCTTGTGGTTGCTTATGTTTATCTCTCATTTTATGTTAGCTTCTCTTCT